TGTTATGATTAGGCTCCGTAATTCCAGAGGCTCGGCGGTTGCCGAGTCGTCTGCAATTTCTGCACGGCGTATGGGGCCAATACGGGGCTACGGAGTTCCAGGGAACCACCGTGAGCTCCTGGTATGGGAGGAGGATGTGGAAGGGAGGGAAATTGGTGGTGATACGACGAAACCGGGGGATATGAAATATTGCGTGTTATACGTAGTTGGGTAGTCGGGGCACCTCAGGTCGCTGGTTATGGCACGACGAAAGTCTCTGGCACACAGTTGGTTCTCGGTTAGACAGGGAAATTCTGGATATCTCTGCCTAAGATATTCTTCCTCCCAGTGCTCTAAGTACTCCCGATCCACGATGTACGACATCTTGTCGTTCCGGCGCACATATCTGATTGTGCTTCGTTCGACAAGGAAATTTCAGGGTATTGTGGCGGAAATTCCTATTGGCCCAAATCCTCAAAAAAAAGGGAAAGGTCACACTTATTACGATAGTGGAAGTGCCAAGTTCGCTAGTGGCCGCGAATCACCCGCGTGGGGACACGTGTAGGTCGCGATGATCAGATCACGCTTACACGTGCGCACACGAGGTGTTTGGTCGTACAAAGGTCTGTTGGCTGATTCTTGTGCAAAAGTGAGAGTTGAATCCTACATGCAAAATCCCCATATGGAGTAGATGATCTCCCAACAATCATTCTGTAATCTCGCAAACAATCATTTCCGATCGTGCAAAGTGACATCGCACACATCAAACACCGCAATATGACATCAACACATCAAAATGACCAGCGACAATGATGATTAGGCAAAAACGACAAGCATATCATTCCACTGTACACAAAAAGGGAGGAAGGATCGAGGCCGAATGAGACACCATAAGAGGGACAACATCGAGACAAAGATGCCGAAAGAAAATGAGGGTGAATTGTCTGAGCTGCAATCAAAACTTATATGCAAAAGCAAAGGAAAAGACAAAGAAAATCACAACTCCACGTCCATCCATCTCAACTCTCTCTCTCTCTCTCTCTCTCTCTCTCTCTCTCTCTCTCTCTCTCTCTCTCTCTCTCCGATGCGGACAGTCCGTCGTCACGCACCAACCCACGAAGTTGTCACCCCGCTTAGTCCTTCTCTGCCCGTCGGATTCGCCCGCGCTCTATAGTTCGTCGTAGCCCCACGCGTCAATCCCGCACATTCGGCACCAGCTCGTAGGGTCCCCCAACTCCCGCTTCAACTCACCTCTTACTTCGCTTGTGAGCTGACCCTCACTGATCACGCTACCCCGAGCTTCCAGCAACTGTTTAAAAGAGTTATCTAATCGCGCAGCCGAAATTTATAGCGTGCATGCATGCGCGAAGAACGCAGAATTTGCAAGGACTTAGAAAGAGAGAAGGGGAGGGAGTGCCTACGTTCTGCATGGCCAAATCGCGGAGTGGGGGACGTAGCCACTCTCCACGCATCGATCCGATCATGCAGCCCGTGGACCGACTAGACAAAGGAAGGAAGAGAGAAGGCGGGAAAGACGAAGCTCAAGGAGAAAGATATAGTTACAAGGGCGCCCTGCCCAAAATTATAGTTAGACGCAAGATTAAGGGCGCTGACTAATCAGAGCTCCGTTGCAGCCGCAAAAAGAAGCGTGTGAGCAAAGAGCAGCGCGCGACAAAAAGAACTTCCGACCTCCTAAATTCCTACATGCAAAAAGAACTTTATTAATGCACAAATCCCGAAAAGAAAGTCCGAAATTTCAAGAGCCATCGAGGGCTCGACAAGATTCAAAAAAGAAAATCAAAAAGAAGCAAAACTTCCCGCACGATCACTGCGCCAAGAATCCGACAACAGAACGAGAAAGAAGCGACGTCAAACATTATTAATCGCGCCTTTGTCGGCGCGCCAGCCACACAATCGACCATCCCGAGACTTGCCCAGCCCTGAACCCAACCATCCGAAAAAAGGCGGCGTAAAAAGACGAAGAAGCGAGGACACCAATGCAACTTTCCCTTTGATCCCGATCTCCCGTAATTGGCCCAACCTCCCCATCTTAGGACCCCTCATTGTCACCGCGCAGAAGATCGCGCGGAACAGAAATTGGTTTGTCACAGCGCCAGCCAAGAGAAGGCCCTCACGGTTTGTTTTTTTGGGCGTGCCGTGCATTTTGAGGCTCTGCAAGGGAAGGGTCAACAGTACTGGTGAGGTCTCCAGTTCTTTATCTCTCTGTTATTTCTCTTCTTGTTGAAGAGTGTTACTACCCCTTCAACCATTCCCTTAGGTAGGTGGTCACCTGGTAGGACCCTGTTGTAAAGATCGAAGTGTAGTGCGGCCCATGAAGTTTTGGCTGCGATAAATATAAGGAAGAAATGTCTTGTACTTCCTACAAAATTAGAGGCTGCCGGCTCGGCGGTACCCGCCTCCCCTTAGCCCGCCCTGTTGGGACCCTGTCCCCATCATGTACGTGGTCCAGGTATGCAATCCCATCGAGGTCTCTTTTTACCTGTTGGATGACGTCTGAGAGGACAGCGGACAAAACTAGCCCCATCAGACCGCACCTGGGCATAGTTCTCGTCCACAGGATGATCATCCCTTTGAGCATCTGCAAATCCAGGTCCTTAAATTGAACGTATGCAAGTTATATTTCCGGTCCGGTACAGCCAAGATGATGGTGTGTTGATTTCCGGTCCGGTACAGCCAAGATGATGGTGTGTTGTGTTCGGGTGGGGAAGATGGTCCCGGCATTTGCAAAGCTGGGTCACCTGCCTGGGAACTTGATGCACTTTTGTTTGCTTTTTCTTTTTCCCTTTCTCGCTCCCCTCCCCCTCCTTCCCCCCCTCTCCCCCCCTTCTCCATGCACTTTTCGCTTTTCTTTC